GTGTTTTGTCACCAATACTAGTTTGGATATGGCTGGAGCCACGGTTGACAACGAGGTCATGTCTCTGACTTCTGAAGGCGAATCATCAGCAGGACCTATGCCGGTAGGATCTACGGATGATTTATCTGAAGAAATCACCAAACGAAGTTCGACATTGAATTTGGCTGAAATGATTAAAGTACTTCCATATGTTTTGCCACATGAGCTATTGCAGGCAATAGCAAAGAGAGACGCTTTAACATTCCTTGGCGCTGCTAATGGTTGGCCTACTAATTTCGAATCCGATTTGGAAAACTGTCAGCTATGTGGGTCCAAGTTAGGTGATTCACGCATTCACCCAGGACAATCGCGAGCCAACACCTGTTATCTCCTTACAGAACTTAATCCGTTCAAAGAAGTGGATATAATGGTGAAAATATGTTCATCTCGTGCGTGTTCTGCTATGCATCAAGCGTCGGTGGAAAAACTAGGTACGGGATAAATATTTATATATTCCCACAAGGCTTCTGATGTGTTAAACCTATTTCAGAGCTCATATGGTACATTTCACCTATATATTATAGCGAGGTTCAGATTTGACTAGTCCACTACCGCAACCTTTCGCTGACCTACTGCGCTTGTGATAGGTTCATGTTTCCTTACTGGTAGCGGTAGTGGAAGTCAAATCTTAACCTCGCAACCTTAATGAATTAGCTGTATATGTATATATATATAGAACATCGACATACCATGCAATTTTGGCGAAACATGCATCATGTATATGTCTGTAGATCGTACAAATATTAATTTAATGTGTTTTTTATATATAGGTTTGTTCAACATCTCTGACAAAGTATTGGTTTCGTTGGATATCCTGTTAGAATTTAGGGAGTTTTTTAAGAAGGGGCATCCTATAGGAAATGTTATTCGTGCAAAGCTTCTAACTCTGAAGGCCAAGTGCAAAGAGGTTATAATAAAAATATGAATATAAATATTTGCAGCTGTTTATGTATATATAGTATAGGCTGTATAGCAACGAATTAGTCGAATTCTTCCAATCTCATCAGTGTATTTAGTCGTATATATTGTATATATATTGTAGAGTTCAGTACCATCAGACGGCGAGATGATGTACATCAAAGATTTGCTCTATAATGGCTACTACAGTTTTGAAATGAGTACAGAAAGAAATCTCGACGACGTGGTCTGTGGTATATGTGGCGTTTGTCCTGAAATCTGTTTGGGTGACGGCAATGAAAAAAACTCTTGCACGAACCGTCAGGTTAAAATATAATTATATATGGTCTACAGTATATATGCTATACAACAAGTACAAATGAGTGTCAACTGCGATGATAGTTATAAGTTATTACTGATAAAAAACCAATCAGTTTTTTCTGTTCTGCAGTTTTTGATGGGTTTTTACATTATGTTTTATAACATAGATTCACTATACTAAAGATGACGAGGAACCGAAAGACATGGTTCCATTACAAGAGTTTCTTGCAAAACTTCGACGTCGTTGGATTGAGAAGACTGTATTTACGCGCGCACATGATAAGTTTACAGTAGCGATAGAGGAACTGCCGCCTATAATTGCACCTGGTCTTACTAGTACTGCGGTCAACACGGAGATGAAAAAGAAGAGTGTGTACCTCAAATCACATTAGCCGACAGGTTAGGGCGAAACGTATAATTAATTGTAATCAATGAATATTATTATATTGTTTCGGTAGTATACTTCGCGAAAGTTTATTTTATTTTCCCAATAGAAAGAACGTTTAAAATTATTCTTACAGATTTTTCGTATCAAGCGTAACTCTTATGAACCCGAAACTAGATTTGGTTGCTAGTTCAAATTTTCAATTGAATAAAAACAATTTAAACAACTTTTTATTTTTACTCTGTAACTTAGAAGTGATTTTATAAAGCTAAGTGGGCAGGAGTGGGGACTCGTGACGTCAACAAAACGACAGTTAATGAGGTTAAGAATTAATCCAAGATGGCAGACAGCTCATTGCTTTCAGTCCAACTATTTCAATGATCACTAGCTGTCGAGATAAAAAACTTGCGTGACCCAACTTGTGAGGTATCATGCATATCCTCAAAAATCCAAGATGGTGGACAGTTCATTGCTTTCAGTCAAAATATTTCAAGAATCAAGCAAGATATGAAACATTTATACTGACAAGATTTTAGAAATGATTTTATTAAAATGTTCTTTCAAATGAAACAATAAAAATTTTTGTTGCCATTGCCCTTAATTATCGGTGCAGTCAATTCTAGTATATAAATGAAAAAGAATTTATTAAGAAAAGTGAAACTATAGTATACAATGAGTACTTTTAGTTATTTTTTTATTTATCGCCCATATGTTTAGGTGACCCAGCACTCTTACACAAGCTTATTTCAGATGGGAAGGTTGACATCGACAGGCTTAATCAATACAATGCAAAGTTTATCAACGATACAGCCATGGCTTGTGGGATAGTAACATCAGGAAAATCTAAGGTTTGCATTTTGAGATATTAGACCTTACTGCATGTTTACTCACTTATTACCCAATAAGTGAATGCATGGATTCAAGATCAACTAACGAGAAGCAAATTGGTGCAGGAAACATCAGAGATCTATAGCCTTCACTTCACATGCTAAGACAGACAATTAAACATGGAAATGGGGCTATAGGGTAAAAAATGACTAAAGTACCGGGTGTCCCAAAAAAAAGTACTCCGGTTTGATTCGAAATAACTTCTAAACAAGTAAAGCTTTTAAAGAGAAATAACTTGCATCAAATAGAGGAAGGACTAACTTAGATTTTGATATATTACAGTTGTATTTCACTTAAAAATTCACGGAGATATTAATGTTTAAAATCTGGAGCATATTTCTTGATGTGTCTGAAATATGCCAAAAACAGCGTATCAAATATTAATCAAGATTTACCCGACTGAAACATGCACTATTACCTGTAAATAAATGACACTTGACAAATTGTTTATTATGAAACAAAGTATTATTATCTACAAAATACAAGCAAGATTTATTCGTCCGAAATCCGCGTGTGTTCCTAGCACGAATACGTTTCCTTATTTCATGAGACCACTGCATCGCGAAGGATCGTCATGGATCGTTCGTAGTTCTGAATTAGGGCACGCTGTCACAATGGAATTGTGAATTTTCTAACTTCACATTGAATGAATTTTCTAACTTCTGCAACGTTCTGAAATCTTGTTAAGAACACCCAAACTCTTTTGCCTTTCTTAATCTTGGCAAGTTCAGAATAAACTGAGAATGAAACACAATCAAACCATACAACTCCATAAGTAAAGACATAACAAGCATGCAACTCCCCAGAGACATCCAACATTTTTGGAACAAAACGTAACAAAATAGTAGCTTTGATACTGTGATGTGTATTTGCAAAAAGCAATATTATTTCCTCCATTAAAGAACAATATTAATCCTGCTCTAACCGAGAAATAATCAACTTTGTTTTGAACCCATGAAAAACATAAAAAATAGGTTATTTAAGAAAAATTGAAGCGCCTGCCTTGCATGGTCTTTCAGTGCCTTAAGTTTGCAAAGACCTATTAAATACTTACATATTTCGAAGTTAAAATTTGATACGCCGATTTTCGCTAATTTTAGACACATCCCAAAATATGCTCCCGATTTTGAACATTAATATCTCTGTGAATTTTTAAGTAAAATACAACTGTAATATATCAAAATCTATGTTAGTCCTTCCTCTATTTAATGCAAGTTATTTCTGTTTGATAGCTTTACTTGTTTAGAAGTTATTATAAATCAAACCGGAGTACTTTTTTTTGGGACACCCGGTCTATTAGAGGTTCATAATAACGGATACTATTTATTGAGTCCTTATACATGCAGTTTTTACCAATTTGGCTTTAGTCAGTATTATGGTAATTACTAATTAGTATTGTTTTAACCTTATCTGATTACAGCAATACTTGTGTGGCACACTCCACGACTTGTATGGGAGTATTTTAATTGGAAACTGTCCATGTCACAGTTTTGGAAAAGTGCCCAGACACACGGGTGGATTTTATCATTTGCTTTGCTGCCATGGGGTGAGTTATAAAAAATATATTGCCACCATGGGGTGTGTTTTATATGTATATATATATATATAACATTCAAAAACTCATTAATTATTCATGAGAAAAACACAAAGAAAAATCATAAGCGTGTCGATCGTATCTTTATATGTGATAGAAATTTCCCTTGATTTACATAAACTTTAACTTTGATTTTGTCGATCGACTTACACAACGTATTTTTTGAAAATTACTTCGCCAATGAACTTACTAGATCGATCGTTTTTGAAGCAATTTAAAACATTCGCAGTGCATGTTTTATCATAAGACCTAAAGATATTCGGCTTCGCCTCGTGTCTTTACATCGGCTGATAAAACATTGCTGCTCATGTTTTAAATAGTACATTAATGATCTTTAAACTACGCGATCACATGGTTCTAGTTTATTAAAGTCATATACGTTTCAATTAAAATTGTGCGGAAATTCGTGCGCATGGCACGAATTCGCATGCTGGGGAGTGCGTAATTGGAACTGCGCAAAAATATCGCGGTTTATAGTTCTCAATATTGAATTGCGTGAATTAATCACGCGATTTAGAAAAATACATTAAGCTATAAATAAGGTGCAATGAATAGTCAATAAATTTTTATGTGGTATTTGGTTATGATATTATTAAACTTAAAGTACTATGTATTTTTTCAGGCAACAGTTGCTTCTAAATTCCTAACGTTGACGGAGTCTGTTAGGGATGCTGCTGACCTGTACCTGTCATTGAAACACCCGCCTATTGTGTTCATTAATGACACACCTTGCGGGTTTGTCCGCCACCTTGAATGCAGAAATCCCAAAGTCGCTGAGAAATTGTGGGGAAAGAATGCTGGGTGTTTCGAAAAACCTGCCATAGGAAAAGAACCTAAAAAAAGTGGGTAAAATTTTTCTTCAAAAACAGGTTTTTGCCGCCGTTCATTTTATTCATGACATGCATGCATGTTCGGTGAGCATGCAAAGAGGTGATCTAAACTGATCTTTCAGCATGTTGTCTTAAAATAATAAAGATAAGATCCGTTTGCATGATATACAGGCACTGTAATATTATTTTAAAAGCATGAGGAAATCCACATAATGATATGATTGCGACGGATGTTTGCAAATTAATGCCTGCAGCTGGGTAACTCCTTGACGAAATGATACATAGTGCATGCATGCACGCACGCACGCAGTAGTACTAAGATTATATGCATGCACGACCATACATTAACCCCACTGAAAATCTAAGTATAATCATTTTAAAATTATTTTAAACGATCATTACAGGATCAGAACTTTCCTGCCATAGTTCCGCCAGAATATAGTGATGGCTCTCAACAACCTTCACTGAAGTTTCTCCGCGGTGACGATAGCGCATCTCATGCACAAGTTGATACAAAAGAAACAAATTCTACCTCCCAGCAACTCAAGCAAGATCATTTCGTCCTGGGTGACAGGTTTCATTCAGCTTCAGATCCACACAAATCACCATTATGCCAATACCACAACATTGATTTGTGTATTCAGGCTCCAACAATCAAAACCAGCATTCAGGAGTCTCAGAATCACAGAAAGAACATAAGGCGTTTAAGAAGTTCCTGCATGCAGAGCTTTGAAGTGCACATTGTGTACAATTTTTTGATGGACTATTATCAGAACGAAGAAATTGTATATAGACAAAAGAGGACTTTAGAGAAATCATTAGTGAAGGAAGAAAAATTGATACGAGATAGTAACCTAAGATTCATAATTCGATGATCGCGCATGACTATATGCATGCTGCTGGCTGGATTCAATTACTGTACATATAATGCTACATTTACCAGCCAACTCAAAAAAGGTTTTCCTACAAAAAAATATTCAAAGCTTTAAACATTGAGCGCGCAAAGGATTATGGGATTTTTAGATTACTCTCGATCGGGAAATTTGCTTGGTGAAATTTGCTTGGCTATAGAGCGCGTGTAATAAACATTTGCATGTATTTAGGGTCTGTAATTAGGGTCTGTAATTAGGGTCTGTAATTAGGGTCTGTAATTAGGGTCTGTAATTAGGGTCTGATTTGAGTAGTTACCATGCAAGTTAAATCTAATGCTCTAAATAACCGTATTAATACTCTCGATATATCTGTTCCTTTAGAGAGTGGTCATTATTTATGGGGTGGTAGGGGGTGGATAATTTTGAGGCGTGGTTACAAATTAAATTTTGAAAGTTGCTGAAGGAACTCTTGACTTGAAGAAGGAGGGGTCACTAGAAAAATAGTCTTAAAATAGTTTTGTTAAATAATTGAAAACAAAACAAAATAATTAATCCCCCCAAAAATAATTGATACATAAACAAACTTAACAAATCGAAATAATACACTGTAGATAATGAATATATTGTGTTATCACATGCAAAGCTGTATAAAATAAACAACTTTAGTCTCATCCCTTATATTAAATTTATAAAAATCTAGTGCGCCAAAATAATAACGTTGGTCTTATTCGGTTTTTAAGTACAAGACTTTTTGTTTCAAGTTGAAATTTCAATGTTAAAACTCAACGTTTATTATGATATTTGTTATAATTTATGATATTTGTTAAAACGATTTCCTTGAGGAGGGGTTGAACCTTTTTTTGAATGTATGATGGAGGGGTTGTTAATTTCAACATGACAACAATTGCTCAAGAGAGGGGTTGTGGAGAATTTTAGCTTGTGCCTAAAAAATCATCCACCCCCTACCACCCCATAAATAATGACACTCACTCCCTTAGATGTTGTGAACAATACAACGAAACGTTAGCCAATAAACTTTATATTTTGTTATGTCTTGTCTGAAAGTCATGTGCTGGGCTTTAATTTTCATTTTTAAATTACTCCCTTATAGTATAGTTAAATTATGCCATGAAACGTCATATTGGGTATGCATGGTCTATTGGGTGCGTATGAAACAAGCTTACAATATCTACGTTCACCATATTATAAATATGGAGTTATAATATAGCATTTGTAAATTCTGATTGGTTGTTTGTAGTAAAAATCTCAAAAACGATAACAGGATTTTTACACGAGCGAAAGGTTCAAAAATGGATAAATTTACTGTATATATATTTACTTTGTATGTGTACTTATAATCAACATTGATGAAATCGATTGATCATCATATCATTGCTAGAATTTGGTCTGTAATATATACAATATAGCGTTTCATTCAGTTACATTAATATATGTATATACCTTTTGATGGACTATATATAGCAGAGGTTTATATCGCGTATGGGTTTATGCATGAATTAATTTGATTCAAGTAATTAGTTTATAAATATATTCGACTTGTGCTTTTAAGACCCTTTTCAAACTTATTTTCCGTGTTGTTTCAACTCTCAAATAAGACGCTTCCTGCACGAGGGTGTTTTCGTGCAGTAATAAAAGCCGAAAAATCATACTTCGTGATGGTGATAGCTGAGGCATACTGAGGTCAGTGAGGTGACGGCAGTCGTCTGGTTAAACCTAATACTGTAATGGAATGCCGGGACGTTCCCACATAAACGTCAGGGCACTGATAAACATTTACCAGCCAATTAGCAGCTTGACATAACACACTTAATAGTGATAAAAATTAAGAATCTGAGCTCTTTAATTAGAACTAATATGTATACAGGAGGTAAAGTTATGATCATGGATGCACTAGGCATTTAAGATCCTTTTCAAACTTATTTTCCGTGTTGTTTCAACTCTCAAATATTAAAAGATACTTCCTGCTTAGCCTCCAGTAAATCCCAGTAATAAAAGCCAAAAAATCATACTTCGTGATGTTGATAGCTGAGGTGACAGTAGTCTAATCAGCAGCTAATTAGCAGATTGACATAACAATTACACTTAACAGTGAAAAAATCTGACTGCTCTTTAATTAACTTTAAAAAATTCATTAATAATTCACGAGGAAAATACAAAAGAAATGAATGTTTAATCAATGTTTGAAAATCGGTTAAAGATTTGTCCTGATTTACATAAACTTCAGTTTTGATTTTCTCGGCTTAGACAATGTTTATTTTTAAAATTACTTTGCCAATGAACTCATAAGATGGGCCACTTTTTAAGTACAATAAAACATTCACATCCGATCTGTGTCTGATATACAAACTCTCGTCTTCGGCTGGAGATGTCATCTGCTGCTCATGTTTTATCTATAGTACTTACTGGATGTACAGTTATGACCATGCTTGACCATGCATGCACTAGGCATGCATGCTAGGCTTAAGATGAAGTATGAATATTTATTGAAGATGTATACTATATTATACAGCCAGCGGGCGAATGATTAATTTAAATGACGTGTTCCATTTTTTTTCCTTTTTCAAATTTACTTTGACAATTAATTTGCTAATTATTTTGTCCATGTAAATGATGAAATTAACTGTTTTCGAAAAGCTGACATGCCGCTTTTTTAACACAGTGAATTAAAGATCCAGTTATTGTCTGCATGCATGGTTATGTGCTCATTTTTGAAAATTCTCCTACGAACATCACAATCAAGCATAATGTATATAGCATAATGTATATATATTCATGATTTTTCCATGCTATTATAGGAAACCTAGTGCAACTAATTGACCGAATTCGAACATTCCTAATGTATTGCGTGCACAGTGAGATCCCGTGAATGCCCACATGTTCAAGCCTTTGGCACTAATTTCATGGACAATTACGATTATCAGTACTAAGATATTTTATCAGTTGAAATCAATCTGTTTGCACCCAGTTTTTTGCCACACGCAATTCGCACCAGGTATCAAATTCTGTGGTGCATGCAATAGGAACATATAAATGTGTCCGCCATTTACAATCAAGACGTGACAGTGCATGTGTGATATAGTTGACTTCACGCCACGTGCCATATTTTTAACAGTGATACACAATAACATTATACAAGAAAATGGATAATTTTGGAGAAGAAATGGTAAAAGAAATTTTTAAGACCATTATGAATTTATATTAGCTATCATTACACTATAATATATATATTATATATCATTATATGATGTTATATAGTCATTACAATACAAAAATAATTATTTAAAATTATAGGAGGAAGGCCCAATCTTTTTGGTAGAAAATGGGAAAACGATGATAAGCGACGTTGATGGTCGTAGAATCTTTGGGGACTTCTCTTTGAAGCTACAAGGGCAATTAATGTCGAAAAACAAATTGGTCAAAGAAAAGCATGGCAACTGGGTGGCTACGTGTACGTCGCAAGTGAAAGGGCATCTCGAAACCAAGTAAGCTATTTTTCAGTGTATGCCAGACCCTTATATTCATAAATCGCAATCCCAATCACAATGTTTTTCATTGAGTGATTGCAGCGCGCGACAAATGACAGAGGAATCAGGCAACCTTATTATATAAACTAACATTTGGTGCATTCTATACACATATTTTTGTGCTGCCTATATATGAACAAACTAAGAGTCGTAGACTACGACAATACAAAGGTTTCCTTTTCCGATTGACTCCAGCATCTTTTACGTTAAATTTCATGTTATATTTCCTCGGAAGTATTATTTCAACTTTCAAGCTCAGTTTTAAGATAATATTTTCGAAAAAACCCGTAATATTTCCAAAAAAGGCTGCCATTATATTATAGAGAATAATTACATGGTGCGCGGAAATACCAGATTTATTTCGAGTGTTGAACATGATATCTCACGAGTGAGCGCAGCGAACGAAGGAGATACATGTTCAACACGAGAAATAAATCTGGTATTTCCAAGCACCCATGTATTTTTCTGTTTATTATATAAACAAAATTCAGTGAAAAACAATAAAACGTCCGTGGCAATGCGTTTTACAACAAATGATATTTTCAAACGTAAAAAAATCGTATTTCAGTTTACGTGTGTTTAAATACGATTTTTCTCAGTGGCCAAAAACTCTATATAACACTTATGTTTACATAATAAATAGAGGATATTAGACGGTTGCGAAGAGATATGGATTTTATGTTTGAGTGGCAAAAACAATATCTCACGAGTGAGCGCAGCGAACGAGTGAGATATTGTTTTTGACACAAGAACATAAATATAATTTTAAAAAATATGGGTCTTGAACCCGCGATCTAGTAATTCGAAGGTCACGGGTTCAAGACCCAGCCGCGGCAGACTTTATCTTTCTGCTTACGCTGGGTATGGAAATTATGAAATACACACTGGAGAACATTTCCTACTTATCATGTTATGGAGTGAACAATAACACAACATAACATCTCTGCCAACTGAGCTACATGGTCAGATGGATTTAAGACTGGAAATAATAATATAATATATAATAGTAGATGACTCGCTAATCTTTCCAAGACCAAACCCTCATACAGTGATGGTTTACTTTTCAATTCTTTATCAAATAACCTGAAAGTGTTTAACGATTACTCCCTGTCTGCGTATAAGCATAAAGTTAAGAGGTTTTTCTCTAATCTTAATCATGAGGTTGACCATCTTGAACAATGTTCGTGTCTTTCTTGGAAAAACCTAATTAAGTGCATTTGTTACTCACACTGAATTTTCTTTTAATAAATTATATTGTCAAAACTAAAAAAAAACATTATGCATGCTTAATAATACAGTTATTTTCGTATTTGGTACTATAAGTTGTATAGTCCCATATGTGCTGTGTCAAATGCAACTATAAACTTGCTTCTTTGTATATATTGTAAATACTGTAGGTTATCTAATTTTTAGAGGGCCATTTGGTAGAATACCTTCTCAGGTAAAAATGTAAATTTACCCTCATCAAATAAAGTTTATTATTATTATTATTTTCACTTATTTACTGAGACAGAGGGAAACGGCGGTCGAGGGGCCACAAACACTGCTTTCCCGAGGTATCGGTAAATAAGTGTTTTGTTATATAATAGCATATAAGTGTCAAATTAAGTATGAATAATTCACCGGTTATTGGAGAGAACTTTGAATGAAAAAAATTAAATAATGGAACGCCGTAAATGTTTAATAAAAAAAGTTTAATAAAATGAACTTTGCAACTTCACGGTCGACGCGCATGTGCACTGAACCCATTCCATTATTAAAGCTTTTAACATTATTATTTCATTATTATTATTGTTTCATTCTTCTACATTATGGGTTATACCACAAGCTTTTTTGTGAAATTGTGAACAATTTCAAAACTGTTCAGTCTTTTTTATATACCCTGTATGGCGTCAAACAATTGATGTATCTTATATTTACAGAACCATAGTTCTCCCAGTTACCACGTTCGATTCAAGGTCGAAATTTTTACAAGAACTGAGGGGGAGTTTTGGCTCAGCAGTTTTGAACCTTGGTGGGTCAGTGACCACAAGTTCGCTTGCCGACTACCACACGTTCTTAAAGAACGACGTGAACAACTCCAATATGAGATTATATAAAGCACAAAATTTGGGTTTCCAGCTGGACAATTACAGGTTTCTTTCGAAGGAGGTATATATATATATATAGAGAGAGAGAGAGAGCCGTCATCGGAGTGAAATATAAATTTTCGTACTAACTAAAGGCGTGAAATCTTACTTATTGAACATTGTAATTCAGGTGCATATCAGTCAAGGCGAATTGGTAAGACAAGGTGAAGAAATTTACTTCGTCGACAACGAAGATATTTACTGTCATGGAACAGATTTAGGCAGGCATCTTTTGGATTACCATAGGTTGCGATCTGTTTGTAAGAGGTAAATGTAATTTTATATGTGACTATTTCACACAAATCATTTTTAAAATAAACAATATTTATTTAAAAAACAGAAAACCCTTCTTGGAATATTTCGACTGTGGAATTTAAAAGAATTAGCTGTCTAATTATCTTAAGGTGGCTCGATATAGTTATCACAACAAAACCGGGTGACCATTTTTACATGCATGTCGCGGAAACGGATTAACAAAATGAAAGAATTTCCAAAATGACCTAGTTGCTCTAGCCAGCACGTCATTGCGCGCGTTCTATCCCTATATCTATTCTGTGGTTCTATGTCAATTGCTGACGTCATAAGAATTTTCCATTTTAGAAAAACAATGCGCTATATCTCTTTATTTTGTCTGGTGATCTATGTTTAAATTTTGCATGCTGCATGTATTGCACCGCTGAAAACGTTCATTATACAAAAAATAAAAAATTCTGCAATGCCAAAAAAAATTTTACAGAAGAATACGATATTTTCTCTTTTTTCCAAAAAAATGGCATTACAGAATTTTTCTATATTTTGCTAATTTTTAGTTTTTCTTCCAAGTAAAATAATGCACGAAAAAACTCCTAACTAAATTTAAAGGTTAGTATTAATTAGTATAGGGGTAGGGTCATGTTTAGGATAAGTAAGGATTATACTCATGTATTCTGGACATGGAATTATTACACAATAATCTTAATTAGCTTGTTCTTTTTTCCAGTTACATTGAGTTATCGTCACATTTTGGCCAAAACGCAGTCCCATTTCAACTTTGCGACAGCCTTTGTGCTTAATGCCATAATCAAAAATGCTCAGAGGATTCATCAAAGTGAAAACGAGGACGAAGCTAAAGGTAATAAAAATAATTATATCGTTGACTGAGAAGTTTCAATCATTACTTTCGGAAAGAAGTAGTATACGTTTCAGTGCATGCACCTGAGTGCATGGGTTATTTATGTATTTATATATGTCAATGGCCGTATGCATACATGCATATGAAAATATTGCCGAGTAAATTTTAATTCAATTTCGATACGCATACACTAGATTATTTGTTTTTGTATAATACAAGATTTGTTTTCATTTTAATATATTTTATAGTTGAGAATTTAATTGGCATGTTATACTCTGATGTCGCTGAACGAAATGTTGGGAAATCACTGACGTTGGAAACAATTGCAAAGGCGCAAGGGATTGTTGGAGCCGGGCACCCTCTTCATTGTTCTGGAGGTGACCTAACAATAAGCGGTGTTTCAATAAGCGGTGTGTTATCAGCTATCACTTATCGCATATATATAGTGTTAGTTCAATGGCATCGAATTATTAAATTACATTCATTTTCTCTTGTAGCAAGATGTTGATGTCCGCGTTAGCAAGCACTAATCTTGTTTGTCTGGTTGACGATGCAAACATTAACGCCACCTTCAGTGAATTTTTGCTTCAAGTGCATGGTGGGTTAGCACAAGGATCATCGAGAACGGGGCTAGCAGTTCCACATGGCAGTATTCTTATGAGCACAAACCTTCGGGAAAGTGAAAGGTGCAGTACGATAACATTGACCGGCACAACTGTATATACTGTATAGTATAACTAGGATATACGTTATATGTCAAAAGTAACAGCTGCTATAAAGATCGCTTGAATAAGCAATTATTGAAATTATCTTTTCTCTTTTATATCAAGGATATACGGACGATGTATCCGAATCAATTACAAGAAGGACAGAAACTTTTCATTCCAGGATGAGAAATTTTTGAATGAAAATTTACAGAATCTGGTTACTGAAAACAAGGTAGCTATAAATTTCAATCCAACATAAGTAGTAATCAGCTTATAAAACAACTGTAAAGTACATCCGCATCGTCAGTGTTGATTGTCGTTGCATGTAAAGCAAATTAACAGAGTTTTAGGCATGTCCTGATGTAAGTGAAAAACTATACTTGCTTTAAGTTCTTTGTATAGGTTTGCATGGCGATAAAACATATAATACTATGTTGTTTGTGGAAACACCACGTATATTTATTACTTCAAAGCTTTCAAACTGTAAGCCCGGATATTCAAATTCATCAGTGCTAATAATATGTGACTTGTTCAATTCACACACCCTTTTATATATCAAAGTGTACAGATCATGACAAAGAAAACAGTGAACAGATCATGACAAACAATAGTGTCAATAGCATTATATATTTGCTTTATCTATATCATATTGAGCCGGATGCTTTGGCATTTCGTTAACCAAATATATATTCTCTCTATCATGGAAACGATTATGTGCAATACTCAAAAACGGTTGTCTCTATCATGCAGGGTTTCCTGGTAGCATGGGCGGTCCTTTTTCAAAGGTTGTGGCTTGATAACATAGAAGAGCCAATGAATAAAATCAGAGCAATGCTGAAGATGCTGGTACCCGAGCAGGACCAAGACAGGTGGTATAAGGGTGCATCGAGTGTTTTGTACACGTATGCTCTTGTAAGTAACAGACATCTGCACATGCGTTATAGAACTGGATTCGTATACCAGTGATGGATTTAAATTTTGTTATATATAATTTTTATCTAGCATGTATTTAAAGCATCATCAAGGCAAATCCTGTAATTAACAGTTTCTAATATTTTGTTGTATTTTTCGTTATAGTTTCATAAAGTCGCTGGAGTCCATGCAGATTTAGAAACTGCAATTGAACATATAGCCAGCTGTGGGCAACTCCGCACAGATAAGACGCTATCATTTTGGGAGCGTTTCGGACGCGAAATAAAGTCCAACTTGCAGAAGGAGGAAAAACCGGTAAATGCATACTGCCTTATCCATTATATCAATATTGCCTTACGCCTTATATTAGTATATAATAAGATCGCCTTTTGCATGAAAGAGGCTCTATAGGGATCACCTTGAGGCAAATAATTAGAAAGAAGATAATAATCACAATTTATGACCTTGATGAGAATTCATATTAAATGATTTTCAAACAAAAACATGAGGAAAACACAAAGAAAAATTATAACTCATAAGCGTGTCGTATTTTATATGTGATAGAGCCGATTTCACTTGATTTACATAAACTTTAACTTTGACTAGATCGATCGTTTTTGAAACAATTACTTTAAAACATTCACAGGTTCGTGTTTTATCATACCTTCGCCTCGTATATTTACATCCGATAAAACACTGCTGCTCATGTTTTAAATAATACGTCACGTTAAACTTATATGTAATCCAGTTTTCCACTTAAACTGTATCGTACCGATATGGAGCGTATTCAGTTCTTTGACTTTGTTTCCTGAGCACTAGAGTGGAACTAATTACTTATTATCAAAGAAAATGTTACGATACGTTACCGGATATACGGTCAAAGCGGAAAGCTGGCCTTAGGCTTAGTATCATGCATTAATTAAACAATCTATGGCCTATACAGGGTGTATCAAAATAAACACAATTCATCTTTTGTGCTTAATAACTTTCGAAATACTATTTCTAGTTAAACGCTTTTAGGCTTACTTCAAAGCCTGTTCTTTTCTCTTTCAAACAAACTATTATCCTTGTCTCCAATGCTAGTA